CGCATTCGTAGCCAACAATTATTGCSAAAGACTGAATGGCCGACTAACAATAAATGAAATTCAAACAATGCCGCGCACAATAAACACAGCGCTTCGGCGGAAAAATCGTCGGCCCCAATCGTGCATGTCCTCGAGTGTTGCATAATTGAAATTTTAACTTCAATTTCCAATAGCCGATGGAGCGGCATAAAAGTTCGGCGCGCCTGTCGCTTTGMGCCAACGTTTGGGCTTAAGTGCCGCAGACGCTGTGGGTTCTACGAACATCGGATTCACCGGATGTAATGCTGTTGCAAAGCGACAAAAACATATAATAAATCGAAATAAAGGAAAATTAAATCATTAAAAATAAGAACAACAGGGATTAAAGAGCTACGCAGTGCCGCGAGCGAACGATTGTTTGCACTTTAGAAGCGAAACTGCTCGATGGCTTAACATCGGCTGAATTCGGATTGAAGTATTAAACCAGACACAGAGAAGCACAAGGTGGTGCCATGAAACGTGTTTGTAGTCCTGTGAGTAGAGCTGTACACCTGATCKAAATGGAGATCATATATCTCTATTTATAATTATAAATTTTTAAACAGGCGAAATATGTATATAACGGGAGACTCAAGCAGAAGCACTTTTTCAATTGCCATTTTTGACAGCTCACGCGTGAGTCAAACYGTCAAATTTGTTATTTTTGTTCAGTATTGTTTGGAGTTTCATCATGGAAAGACTTCCGCTTGAACAACGTTTACARAGCGACTTCATTCAAAGTATTCAACTTCATTACGAAAATTCATGTTCTGTATAAAAYGTGTTGCGCACGCTTCGCTCAACTTTTGGTTAAAATAATCGGCCTACTGGGCGTACTATTCGCAACACCATCACYGATCTTGGAACCCCTCGATCTTCCCAAGCGACATCACTTCGCTCTATGGGCTCTTGAAAAACTCCCTGAACATCCGAAGTTTTCGAGACAAATTATGTTCAGCGATGAGGCCAATTTCTGGCTCAATGTGTATGTAAACAAACAAAATTTCTGTATTTGGAACGAAGAACAACCTGAAGAGATTCCAAAACTGTTATTTCATCATAAAAAACCCACGGTTTGATGTGGTTTTTTGGCCGGTGGAATCATTGCTCCACATTTCTTCAAAAATGATGCCGGTGAGAACGTAACSGTTTATGGCGACCGTTKTCGCGCCATGATAACCGACTATTTGCTACCTGAAATTTAAGCTTTTGATTTCGGCAACATTTTGTGTCAAYAAGACGGTAACATTTCTTCCACATCGCATCCATTAATGGATTTATTGAGAGAACCCGTCGTTCAACAKATAATTTCAYGTTTTCGGCCACCAAGTCACACCGTTAAACTTTTTCCWGTRGGGATATGTACAGTCTAAAGTCTATGATGTCGCTTCGAGTCAGGCCTTGGAGCAAAACATCGCGTGTTTCATTCCTCACTTACCAGTCGAAATACTCAAACGATTCATCGTAGATTGGACTCAACGGATGGACCATCTGAGACGTAGCCGCTGTCAATATTTGAAAGAGGTAGTACTCAAAAGAACAAATGCCTCTGAATGTTCTTGCGAATGATAATTCCCCATTAAATTTGAAGTTTCTGTGTTTTTCTATATCAAAGTAGGGAACTTCGAGAGGATCACCCTTGGCACAAATTCGTTAATGAGAGAAACAAAAGCACAATTTTCATTTCATAATAAATTATAATTTCTTTGAATCACGACACTTTGATTCCAGAAAATAGTGCAGAGATACTTAAGTGTCGGAACAAAGTGTCTTGCTGATGGAGTTTAACTGAACATAACTCAACATCATTTAAGGGATTATTTTTACTTGTAGATTTGCAAGAAACCATGTCGGAGATATTAAAACAGTTCACAAAATTCGCTTATTTCCTGCCATGAAAGTGGACAAAATCACTTAATAAATATGATTTCACAAAAGCGGGCAGGGGGTTAATTATCAAAATCGAATAACTACTGAAAATTCTAGGGTTTACAGAGAAAGTTACACACTTTTGTTACTGAGCGATCATAYAAGAAGATATGAGTTAAACATATGTATTACAACCCATTGTAGATATTAAATTGCTTTGAGGGATTGTTTCGTCTGGAGACAGATTGAGAGGCAATGGGAGCAAGTACTCCAAATAGAAAATAATATGCGGCGAATAATTTGAGTACCAAAGAGCTTTATTTTCCAATAAAGGATGATTGTCGTTGTGCTGATAAATCACGATTTTTACAATATAATCAGCATAGTGGAGAAGTTTCTACTACATAACGGAACTTCTCTTTATATACATTTTCAATTCAACCTTTTGAGGCAAAATTTTTATTTTTGAATACAATTGTACTAATAATCTCAGACTTTCACATATATATTAGTGTAAGCAGTGTTTATAAAAAAAATTAATTAAAATATTGAAAAAAATAAACAAATGCTATAAATAAAAATCTCATAGGAGTACTTTTACAGGGAAAGCATCGTCCAATATATTTATTAAGCTAAAAACTATAATTTCTAAACTCACACTATTAGTAGGCAAGTATACGTAGTCGAATCAATTGAGTATAATTTTATTACACAGAACGTTACTAATTTTTTTGAAATATTTGTACAATACAATTTATATAYAACACATTGACATTGGCTTTGGTAGTATTTACACAAGCAAGTATAAATTTATAAATAAATTGAGTGAAAGAAAATTAATACTTAAAATATAAAGCTAMAAATATTATGCTTTCTAATTACATTTGTCACATGCCAACAAAKTAGAAAATAATTACAATAAAAATGCGTCAGAAATATTTCTCAAAATTATAATTACGTAACTACAAAAATGAACGAATTTTTTTGAAATTCTATTAAAAATTATAACATTTTGTAATTAATGAATATATTTTTACAATTTTTTTTTATTTACTAAAATTTATATCTTCAAAGTAGTGTATTGAAATGCAGTAGAAAATCTTGAATACGTCGTTTGAAATATTTGAAATCGATTCATCGATGTAGCTTAAATTGATTGAACTTATTTTAAGATGTTGTCTCAAGTTTATGTAAACATACACATATTTAAGTGGTTTCGAAATTTTCGA